TATGAGCGAGACAGTACTTTGGGTATCAGCATAAAACAAGAATTCATAAATAAATAATCTGTATCTAAATTTCTAGATCTGAATTCATAAACAAATAATCTGTAAGTATCTGCATGTTGGATGCACAGGGGTAATCAACATTTTCAGCAAATCGTTTTCGTAGTCGGCAAAACAAGAACTGGTTCGGAAAGGAAAGAAGTGAAATATTTGAGCGATGCTGATAAAAAATAATACTTATAGGAAATATTTGGAGAAATTTACGACAACGTTAAAAGAACATTTCTTAACCCATAACTGAATGAATGTGAAGTCCAACATTTTTTGCCGCTGAAAGGTGTACTATAACATCTGTCAGAAAGTGTTATTCAAGAAATGTTAGACTGAACTATAACTATGTAAGAGTAATCGCTACTCTCAAATAAGTACTCACTACTCTCCCCATCTTTTGAAGCGCTTAATAAACACCCAGGCGTTAATAAGATCATTTACGGTACATAATGCTGATCGTGGATTTTAAACTAGTAACACTGTACTAACCAGCCAAATCTTCCTGACGAACACCAACGGTTCTTATATTTCGCATTATATAATGTCATTAAAATTAATTAAATTTAGTATTAATTTTAAAGTTAGCTAACTAGATATCGCCATGACATTTACAAACATATAATAAGAAGCTTCACTACTTGTAGTGCATGACTTCCAAAATTATGCTTGTAGTGAACGTATTTCAAGGATTTGTAGTAACTTTTGTAGCGCATGATTTGCATCAGTATGTAATGTGCTGCATGCTTTGATTTGTAATGAATGGCTGGTTTATATAGTCCCAATGCTAGTCGAGACTTGCATAGAGACGTACATAATAATATGATTGTAGTGACTTTGTAAGGGTAGCTTTGCAGTCGCGTGGAAGTTTTTTGAAGAGAGGTCTTCGGAAAAGCTGCGACATGGCTCGCATGTAAATTTAAAGTTGTTTGAGTTAGTAAATAAATAGATAATGCATTTTAATTCTGTTGTACAATTATTGTGTAATTCTAGGGGCGTTTTCCATTAACACGGCCAACAAGTCAGAACGGTCAAATTGTTGAATGAAACACAAAACAATTGGGATTTGTATCTATCTGACCAGAAAATTTAGATAACATTAGAATGATGTCCATTTCCCCTAGATATTTGTGAAATATAGTCCACATCTTTCCATATTTGATACAGGGAAAATAATTCGGGTCTGACTGTTTACGCCATTAAATGGAAAGCGCCCTAGTTCGACAAATCTTTCTAGAACGGCTCGGAAATGTGCACTACCGCTTCAATTAGCATTCATTTCCGAAACACAGCTGTTTCTCAGTTTGCAGGCTTACACTGTAACAAGGCGCCATTTTCTGTTCTGGAACATTTGCAATTATGTTCTGAAAAGATGTGTATGGAGCCCAGACATTTTTCTGAAACATGCAGTGACTGGAAGTATGTACAATAAATCAAATTTAGATTGGGCATATACATCGTCGAAATACCAGTTTGTATAGTGAGAGTAATATTTGAAATATTTTCCCGATATTTCCTCTCTTTCGTTCTGGCTGACACGGTTCAAAGTTTGAATTAGTACATTTCGGAATAATCAAGTGACAATTTGAAATGTTGTGTTTCATTACAGGAAAAACCGGACAACACCAGAAAGTAAATGTAGCAGCATGTGGGATGACAGCTGCCGTCCCGACGTCACAAATATAGCTTTCTGATTGGTCAGGATTTCAGCCGGCCAACCAATCAAAGATCTTTATCTTGTGACATCTGGACGGCAACCTTCACCCGCATATATATTTGCTTGGCAACCCACGGGCAATAGGACAGGTGCACTGAGCTATACTGGACAGGTGTAGTGTTGTTAAATAAAAAGTTAGAAATGGTATTGTACTTACCCATGTATTATAATTATGTTTAAAAGATCAGAATATTCATAAATTCTTATTTTGTTTCATAAATAGTTCTTTAATATTCGAAACAAATTCCATATCTGCTTCGTCTGCCATCGCCATGTTTACTCGTCCCAATCTACATGCTGCACGGCATTGCCGCCCCTCCTGGCAAAATAATAAGCAAGCGAGAAAAATTAAGGAGAAAATAAGAGGGTAGGAACATCGTTGTCATAACCTGGATGCAGTGACACTTCCATATATGGCACAAACGTATCCATAACTTCCATATATGGCACAAACGTATCCACGACGCGTTTTATAACGTTTTATTTGACGTAGGGATGACGTGTAATGCTGCTTCCCGCCTATGACGATTTGAATTAGTCATGTGATACAAGATTGTGAAAGCTGATTCGCCCAGAGCGATGAAACGCCCACGAAACGCCCACAGTGTTTCTACCCTCTTATTTTCTCCTTAATTTTTCTCGCTTGCTTATTATCTTGCCAGGAGGGGCAGCAATGCCGTGTAGTATGTAGATTGGGGCGAGTAAACATGGCGGCGGCAGACAAAGTAGATGTGGAATTTGTTTCGAATATTAAAGAACTATTTATGAAACAAAATAAGAAGTTATGAATATTCTGATCTTCTAAACATAATTATAATACATGGGTAAGTACAATACCATTTCTAACTTTTTATTTAACAACACTACACCTGTCCTATTGCCCGTGGGCAACCTTGGGGAAATAAATAATATACATTTATCACTTATTTACTGAGACCAAGGGAAACAGTGTGTATTGTGGGCCCGAGACGGCGGTCGAGGGGCCACAAAACACACTGCTTTCCCGAAGTCTCAGTAAATAAGTGTTTTGTTATATAGTATATATAAGTGTAAAAGTATAAATAATTGGAGTGAACTTAATTTCAAACACAAAATTGGATAAATGGAACGCCGTAAAGGTTTAATAAGTTTAAAAATGAACTTTGGAACTTCATGTTTGACACGCATACGTATTGCACCCATTTTATTAATGACCGGTCAATAAATGTTCCATTGTGGATCGGTTGCCTCCTCAGCAAAGCATGCAGTGAACATGACGTTTTGTGGATCGGCACGTGATACGGTTTTGACCAGTCGGCAAACAGAAAAATTGAACTTTGACACTAACTATATAACAAAATATAATATAACGCTACCTTTTCAGGAGACCCATGATAATTTAATAACTAAATATGTGAACTCGGTCTCTAAATAAAAAAGCCTCTACAAGTTCCTACAGACTACTCTTCTAGGCCCAGAATCAATAATTTTCTATATATACACCATATTTCTAAATAATATGTCACAATGACATGAGCGAATCAATACAAAAATACTCATTGGCGCGGTTTAAGCGCATGCAATAATATTGAGTGGAATTATATTCTGTTGCCATGCAACACGTCGCTTCAAAATGGCGTACTTTGTTTTGCACAAAATATTCCTGCTGAAAAGGAATTGGCATAAAATGTAAAAAAGTATCTTCAAAATTAATGTACTGTAGCACCGATTATTTTAGAGAGAAACCCACAATGCAAGCGAACCCTCCAGAATTTAAAAAATCATTTGTAAAGCTGAGGATAGTAATACGCGAATCTATATTTAACAGTTCAGATTATAAGTGCTTGCAATTGCGAATTCTTTGATTTTGAATTTTCCGAACAATTGTATTAAAAAAAACAGGTGTTGAGTGCAGAACCAGTTTTATGCTTAGATTGATGGGAAATGAGAACCACAGCCTGCAAAGCAGGCGCTAGGTGAATGAACGTCTGCCGTCATATCCTCATATGTTTCGAAATACACACACTTTTAATAATTGTCAACCTGTCAATAACGAACCAATCAAAATTATCTTTGCTACTAGATAATGTAAACTGATATACAGCTTATTCAAAAAAACGTTGTCCTTTGCAAACCTTAAACTCTAAACCTTAAACCTTAAACTCTAAGCACGCAAAGCTTAATGAGAGTACAAGTTTCAAGCTCAGTAGTTGAATATTGCGACTATTTGTGAATGAATTGTTCTCGTAAGGAGATATTTACCATGTCTCTAAGAAATGGGCCCCGCATATGATTTGTAAACTGATTAAATGATGGTCCCATTATGCTTTGCACTCTTAGAGTTTAAGAGTCTCTTTCTTAGAGTTCCCAACCTTTTTTGACTATTCCCGCGAAAAGTTAGCTTGCCTATAGAGCGAGACGCGAGATTTCTCTTATCAAAGATCATGTATTTTCACAGGTATGTATCAATCATTTTGCCACACGTTTATCAAATTTGATTTTTTTAGGTTAGATATGATTTCTAGTTTGCTGTTTAGTCTAGTTTTCGGGTCACTAGCTAGTTGGAAATTAACAAACACGAATAATATACCCTTGAAATAAACATATAGCGGAAATTTTTAGTTTTCATGGAAGAAAATCGCTCTTTCAAACCATGCTAATAGTGAGCTTAAGCAAGCGGCGTTTTTATCAACACGGATGTCATCCGAAAATTCGTATAACTAATTTTGCAGGCATTGATATATTATTGGTTACAACGTGCGGAACGGATAGCTTTTCGCTTCATCAGGGCCGTAATATTGGATATTACGCGGCTGGGGGGGGGGGGGAAGAGCTTGTTTTGCCCGACCAAAAAGGCGTGGCGGAAGTCCAGCCCGACGGACAATTGAGGCTCTAACTAATCTTTCTTTTCCCAAAAAGTGGGGGGATTTTCGGACATAACCTTTTTCACTAACTCACCAAAATTTGAGCAATTTTTCAGGAACTTATTAACAGTAATTTAACAACTATTTTCCTACAATTAATACTTTTCAACAAATTATGTAATTTTTTTTGGAAGAATTACATATTTTTTGCCGTGAGTGTCGTTAAAATTGCTAAAATTGCGTGATAAAACTGCAATATTACATCATTGGGTGGTGAGAATCATAAGCACAGCGATCGTGTAGGAAGCAAATAACTGTAAAAATCTTATTACCACAAACTGATGCAAACACAGATTTGAATCCAATGCTTCCCTCCCCTCCCCTCACCAATTTGACGTTCGAGTTGACAAAAATGTCGCTTCCTTGAGCTCCCTAATGAACCAAATAGAACTCCGACCAGATTTAATCGAGAAATAATGTTTTGAACTTGGGCCATGGCTAGGTTATTTTATTTTATATTACACGAATTATTGCCCGTAGCCAATAGCTATGCAATTGACAATCAGTAAACACAATAAATATTAGTTGTCAATCAGGCAAAGCTACGACAAATGTTTAAAATGATTTAACTAAAGTTATGCCCTAGATTGAATAGTTAACAGGGTATTATAATTTAGAATGTATTATTATTGATTGTAAATGCATGCAGAATAGTCTCGAACAAGTTGTATACTTCCGCCTTTGATATTTGGGATTTTTAAAGCCGCGTTTTTTTAGGGACCGGTCATAAAGTAATTACTACAGGGGGGTGGAGGATAAATGAAATTTCAAGTACATATTTTCATACACTCCCAAAAACATATGGAAAAATTTTCGTAACCCCCGTTAATGTAAGTTAAAATTTTCATACCCCCTTTGATATTTGGGATTTTTAAAGCCGCGTTTTTTGGGGACCGGTCATAAAGTAATTACTACAGGGGGGTGGAGGATAAATGAAATTTCAAGTACATATTTTCATACCCTCCCAAAAACATATGGAAAAATTTTCGTAGCCCCCTTCAATGTAAGTGAAAATTTTCATACCGCCTCTGATATTTGGGATTTTTAAAGCCGCGTTTTTTTAGGGACCGGTCATAAAGTAATTACTACAGGG